AGGGTTGAAACTTTCGTGGTAACGTTTCCATAACACAAACTTTAACAATGAACGGACAAGGCAGTTTGAAATCAAAATCTCTTTTTCCGCTATTTATAAAGAATATAGATTTTAAACTACACGTGCCTTTTCACGAAACCGATAGGATCGTACAGAGACTTGCAACTTTGAATAAAATTTACGGACTTTTCTCAAAAACACGCAATATTTGTAGACGTGCACTGAACGGAAGTGCTTCGAACGAGCTCCAAGATAATGCTATGATGTCACCGCTCTCTGCCCACAAGCGAAATACGCACTGTACACGGGACTCGGGCGATTCCCACCTTAGAACAATAGCGTTTCCTAACCAGACTGTGTATGAGCTTATACAGTGATGGTGGCACAATACAATAGATCATGGTGAGATGGCAAAGTTTTTACTGAATACAAATCATCATAGGCTGACTAATGTGAGCATGAACAACAGTTTGCAGACTCCACATTTCTGAATATTGTCTGAATGAAGTCATATTAAAGAAACTATTTTCAAAACATTATAAAAAGTTGAAGATTTTAGTTTAAACCAAATATGATTGCTAGTATTTTTTGAAAAATTTGTTGTACAGTAAAATTACACCTCAGCTTACAGTGGAACTAAGTATACAAATTGTAATACCACAAACTAACACTCGTACATGTCAATGAATCCAGATTAAAAATAAATCATAAGTATTTGTTGAACAAGTTCAGGAATTCTAAAAGTGCTGAGTGGTAATTCCATATTTTTTTTAAATCAAAATCAGATTCACTCAAATAGTGATTACAATTATCAGGACAATTTACATTCTACAGTGAAGTGTTATATTGTTGATACTATAATTGTTTGATGATTTCACAGCATTCATGATTTGATGATATGAATGAGCTCACTGTTTTAGGTGGATACTTCACCACTAGAACAATTTTACCTGACTAGTGAAATTCATCATGTAAAATTAAAAAGGTTTACAGCATTCTGTTTTTGTATCCATGGAAATATGTAAACTTACTGGAGGTTGGCAGTCTTAGAGCTGGCATCAAAACATTCATCTCTAGATACAATACGGTGTGAGAATAACTTTTTATCTGGATCAATGAAGCCAGCAATCATGTGAGCATATAAACGTGCACCAAAAGTGAAGATGTGTAACTCATAAAGTTTTGATATCTTCTCTAGGAATTCCTTGCACTTTGGGCGTATTCTGGTGTGAAACCAAGGATACTGTGGTCCACTCCACAGTTGGAAATGATAAACATCCTGCATGAGAGAACAAAGAAATTTGGATTCAGTAGTAATGTATTACTTATCCTTTTATTTAGATCAGATATGGTTGCAACATCCAAGTCATATGCAAACAAATCATGACATGATAAAGTCCTTGTTAGTTCAATACTAAAAATAACTAAAATAGATCATTTTGAATGAAAACATGAAACACATGACATGATGTATAACACAGTTCTCAAGTTTGGTTGATAAATTAAAAAAAAAAGTGTGATCAGTCAATGTATGTCATGGCACTAGAACAGCATTTGCATTCGACCATTTTTAATTAGATCATGAAACAAAAGTCCATGCATATGAATCCCAAGGTATATGATAGGTGTGTCAAGTTTGAATGTGATCAGCTGAGGCATATCCAAGATACAGGTGGAAACAGACACACAAATCTCAAATGTAAGTTCTCTTTTCTGACTGCCTCCATATGGGAACCAGTGGTATTACTTCACTTCCATAATATCAGCAAAGCATTGTACCTTGAGATTTTCTGGTACATTATCCATTGTGGTGTGTATAATGGTTTGGTCTAAATCAACAATGCACACTAATTTTCTACTCTTCAACAATCTTTGCTCATCTTCTTTTGCGAGTTGAACTGCTTCCTAAGAAAACATGGTATGAGACACATCTGACATTGAATAAACGACATAATTATTTAAGTTACTAAACTAAAATTGTGTACTATATTACATGTATGTACTGAGCATGTGTGCAACTTTATACAATGGCAAAATATGATCATAATATTAGAATTTGTATCAACAATATCATATTTACACTATTAGAAGCATACCTAACCAAAAAATGTATCAGTATTAACTGCATACTGGATCTTTAAAAGATGATATATTTTGACCAAAGGCACACCTCTGTCATTTATATTAGTCTATACACTAATATGGTACAGTGTATACAACTTTTTCAGTTCATGTCACATAAAACAAAAATAAAATGCAAATTTCCCTTTACATTTTGGACTTTATTTCTCAACAGACTGTCCATTTTTTTTCAAGGATTCTTAATGATGAAAACAACACTGGAGAAAGCATATGTGTGTCATAGAATTGGGACAATTGTTTTAGTTCTGAATGTATACTGCTGACAAATTTACTCAACAGTCTTTCTCCAAATTCAAGCTGCAGTTGATAAAACAAGCAGCCTGTCGGCTGAGATAGCTCCGCTGTTAGCAATGCACATTTCAATTAAAAAACTGAAGATATCAATAAATAATGAACAATATGTATAGTATCAAAGCAATCGGACTTGCTGTTTTCAACAAAAATTCGAAAATATTACTTTTCACTAAAAATGACAAAAAGAATTCGTTAAAATTAAATAATTGAAGATATCATCACGAAATGAACATATCTAAGAAAGGACCACATGTAGTACCTATATATGTAATATCAAAGCAATCAGACTTGTGGTTTTCAACAAGAAGTCAAAAATATCACTTTTTACAAAAAATTCCAAAAATATTCACCAAAATTAGAGAATTAAAGATATCATCACAAAATGAACAAATCTGAGAGAGGTCCACACGTACTACCTATATGTGTACTATCAAAGCAATTGAACTTGCGTTTTTTTAAACAAGAAGTCAAAAATATCACTTTTTACCCAAAATTACAAAATTGAAGATATCATCATCAAATGAACAAATCTGAGAGAGGTCCACATGTAGTACCTATATACATGTTTATTGTGTAGGCATTAAACAGTGTTTATGACATGAATCTCGCGTGTTTATCACGTGACTTCGAGTGACGCAGTCTTTAGTTTGTAGCCATCTTGAACAGTTCAGTTTTTTACTCCAGTGTTTTGATTTTCTCAGAGTTTAAATTTACTTGAATTTACTCCTCACGACTATATTTCGAACACCATGGAGAGCAACACTATACGTCGCCTGGGTCGGAAACACCGCGCAACGGAGGTTCCGCTACTTAACGATGTAGATCCAACTCCGTCCACATCAGCTGATGCAAGTTCAAGACGCTTGCCTGCTACAACTCGGCAACTTAGAAGTCAAGGTCTTGATCTCTCCAATCCTTCAAATTGGTCTGCCGCTGATTTGAGGGAGAAGATTGCGTGCTTGGGCATTCGGTTGCCCCCAAACACGTCCAGGAAAGCACTTTTACGGACATTTGAGTTAAATAAGGACCGCGTTGTTGAACCGATTCAATGCAATGCTGTTAACAATACCGATGACGTCATATCTTCAAGTCGTACACCGCCTCAGCGAGTGATGGCGGACATTCCTTCATTCATAGACTCTTCTGACCAGGTTCTTTCACAGGCTTTGTCTGGGGATCGACAAGTGACCGTTCCGGATGACGAGGTTCGCCGCGATATAACTGAATTACGTCAAAATTTGCAAGGTTTGCGTGAGTCAGTCGATGCTATACGTCAGCTCCAAGAAACCAATATGGCGGCTTCCACCAGCCTTGGCAACAACAACGGCACTGGTCTTGCAAATTTGTCAATGAGCCTAGTAAGAGAGACATCTCCGACCAACATCGGGTCAACTAGTAGTCATTCAATTGAAAAGAATAAGTTTGGTGTTTCTTCGAACGATCTGCCTAAAATAGTGTCCATTTCAACAACACTCAAGAAGAAAATAATCGAAGGTAATTATGTTAATCTCGCTGCCTTATTGATACCTGCTCATGAACTTTCAGAGAACAGATTGATTACTGACTCGATGGGAAATGAAATTAAGATTAAAGGGAACCCGGACCCACGTTTGAACAAGTCTTTGACACTTAGTGAGTTTCTCATGGCCTTTGGGAAATACAAAGCTGTAATGTGTGAAGCTTACCCTGGGAGACGGGAGGAGTTAGAACTCTACACTACAGATATCATTTCCATGGTCAACAGTTTTGGAGGTGGTCTTTTTTATGATTACCATGTGGAGTTTGCCACCAGAGCAGCTACATGGTGGCAGCAGCAGAATATTAAGATTGATTGGTCAGTCCGAGATACAGATATTTTTATGAGGCTTACAGCTGGGCGTAAAGCAGCGGCATGTTCACTTTGCCAAAGTTCATTGCATTCGCAACATTTTTGTCCACGTAAACACTCTGTGCGTGACAATCAAGATTTTTCAGCTTGTGGCTCTATGGATGTCAGAGGTAGACTTCGTTTGTTTCAAGGGGGACGAGAAATTTGCAATAATTACAACTTTGAGAGGGGTTGCTTCCGTTCTCAGTGTCCTCTATTGCATGTGTGTAGTTCATGCAGGGAAAACCATTCAGCAAGTCAATGTTCAAAGGCACAACCCACAAGCAAGCCCCAACAATCTAAGCAATGACTACCCACAACAGCTAGAGCACCAATTAAGGTGGATAAATTGGAACATGATCTTCGTTTACATCCGGATAGGGATTTTGTTTCACACTTATGTACAGGCCTTCGACATGGTTTTTTGACTGGAATTGAGGATGCTCCGTCTGCTAGTTATGAGTGCCGGAATAATCTCTCTGCCCAAAAGAATCCAGATACTGTATCTAGACTGTTGCAAGTAGAATTAGATAAGTGCTACCTAATAGGCCCATATGACACTCCGCCATTTCCTATTTATAGAGTTAGTCCACTGGGAATAGCAGAAGGCAAGTACTCTAAGAAGAAAAGGCTAATTGTGGATCTATCAGCCCCACATGATCTGCCAGGGGTGCCGAGTTTAAATGAGTTGATTGACAAGGAGCTTTATTCTCTGTCATATATTAGAGTAGACGATGCCATAGCACAACTACAACTTTTAGGTACACATGCCTATATGTCAAAATACGATATTACGGATGCTTTCAAGCAGATTCCTTTGCATCCCTCCATTGGCACTTACATGGTGTTAAGTGGAAAGGGAAGTACTACTTTTTCGTCAGGCTTGTGTTTGGCAGCAGATCAAGTCCAAAAGATTTTTGACCGGCTTTCGCAGGCAATATGCTGGATTGCTTAACATAAGTAATAACGTAAATTTATCATCCACTTACTTGATGATTTTTTTAACAATTTGACG